TATCTATCAGGAATCTCAAAAAGACATCTGGGGGATGACAGCTCCATGACATCACTGAATGTCGTGACATAATTATAGAGTCCTAGCCTGTATATGCTGCATTATAGCATATGTCCTACCATTTTGGTGTTTAATAGAGTATTGAGCAAACACTGGATAGCTCAAAGGTACAAATTTTGAAGATCCTTTTGAAGAAAAGAAGCTTCCAGTTTTTCTGATGAACCACTTCTTTGGGGTTTGTGTCACTCCTATTTAGGGTTTTGAAATTCCATCTTGGACAGGCCTTCCATTCTTCTGAAAGCTCCTAGACAAGGCTGGAATGTCAGTGATCAATGGCAACAGCACAAATATTGATGGACTCTGACACTTTGATTACAGCACAAAGGAACCAGGAACAAAATGAAAAAGGGAGATGACACCTAGCCTGGAGCTTTTACTTCATTAGATAGGAGGCCATCAAGACCACATGCTGCGCAGAGAAGGCCTTGTGAATGTTTGGAGCCACAATGACATCAGAAACATATGAATGAAGGGCTAGTAAAAAGAAAATAATCTTGTTATGAATGCTCCACAGTTGTTTTCTCTAAAGGAAAAACATTTGTTGCATCCTGAATTGTTAGATGTAAAAAAAAATAAAAAAATTGGAATGCCTTTGGCTTCTCAACTACAAAGACACTTAATAGATATGTCAGAGCATTTCGGCACTGTTGTTTACAGGTGGGTGAGACAGAAATTCATTGTAGTTTAGTATTCCCACCTGCTCTGATTCTCAGAAGACTGATTCTCAGTTCCCAGCCATGTTTTACATTGAAGTTTGCAATCAGAGACATATGAAGTAAGAAAAAAGGAGCAAGCTAAGTGTATTCTTTGGGAAACACTTTCAAAAATACTAAGCAGCCTCAGCAGACGGTCTATCAGATGTTTGAAATCATGTACTTTCAATGGACTAAAATAAACCACAAGATTTCAGAGGCTGAGAATTCTATGAAATAGTTATGACTGCTATAGGATGAAGAGCACAGGCATAAGAAATGTAAAAATAAAACCAAGGTTCACTTGGTGCTTCCTTCTACACTGAGCTGCGATATATGTACAGAACAATCATGGCTTCTCATATGAAATTCAAATCAAGCCAGCTTGCCTCTTATTGCCACATTTTTTTTTTTTTTAAAAATGAAACTCAAAGCAATTTTTTAAAAAAAATATGTTAGAAGAAATCTTGCTGAAACAAAGAAACAAACCCTCCCCTATAAGTTTCAATAACAACAATAGGCTTCAAGTGAAAAGGGTAGCTTGTTATATAACGAGTCTCCTCGCAGTGAGATAGGCAGCAAACAAATTTAATAAACCCATGAAGCATGCATGTTTCCTTCCTTCCTTCCTTCCTTCCTTCCTTCCTTCCTTCCTTCCTTCTCCTTCCTTCCTTTCCTTCCTTCCTTCCTTCCTTCCTGTTTCTTTCATGGGTAAGCAAATGCCCATTACTTATTACATGAATGAAGTTTCTGAGTCTCCCATGCTTAAAGATGAGTTTACAGGCTTAAAAATGAGTTTTAATTTCTCACATGGAATGAAAATATCGAAAATTGTCTACATAATAGCTTAAGTATCAATCATGCAACAATCATGAATTTAAAATTAATATCTCTTCACCCTCCAGTAACTTGAGTTTTTTTCCCCCTTTCCTTAAATGTCACGAGTTTTTTGTCATATATTCAGGAATCAGTCAGCATTCAAGCACTACATTTTGCTTCTAGGCTATTTAAAATTTATATTGATCCAAGTAGGTCAATATCAATATTCACCCACTAATTTTGAACAACGTGATGCCCACTGACACCTTGCTCAACACCTAACTGACCTATATGATTTGATTCTTTTTTCACAAGGAAAGGTGAAGCAGTATGCTGCAAATTAAAATTTCAGCCCCTCATATTATCTTTCTTTTTCAGTAATTCCTGTAAGCCACACATTTGAGGCCTCCCTGAGAAATAAAAATGACAGGTGACTTTAGTCTTTTTGATGGAGACTTTGGAAGTGAGCCAATGTGTCCAGCCTGTTCAGAAAAAAGATGAAGACAATATGTTGACTAGCTTCACTAGTCACCTTCTGGTAGATATGGCTTTGTAATGGGCCATGTTATGAAAGAACAGCTCCCGCTCATTTGTTGAGAGCATTCACATCATATTTTCAAAATTCAAATGTGTTTACTGCCCTGCAAAATCTAAAATGCTTATTCATCCATCCCAACACGAATTTATCTTGTTACTTGCTACAGTAAAACATGGATGAGTGCCAGAAAATAGGAAACTATTGTTCTGTATGGATTCCTTGCTTCCACCTAAAGTTTTGTAGTTCCAATATAGTAGCTATGCTATTGTCTGATATTCCTTACAGATAGTAAAATGGATAACAATGGTTTAAGGGTAACTTATCTGGTCTGTGAAAATCCAGATGGCCACTTAAAGGGCAGCAATAGTTTCTGCTATTTAAGCTATATAGTGTTCTTGTTGTTGCTGCTGTTGTTATTTGGGGGGGGGGGGTTTACAGCCCAATATTATTTTGATTCATCCATTCATTACCGCCAGTTACTGTATAACTCAAGGATCTCCCTATGATCTCGTAACTACTTTGCCTTTCAATCTCTCCTGAATCTGTTATCTCAATCAGACTTCACAGTTCAGCAACTTTGGCCGAGTATAATTAATAATTAAAGTGCTCTTAATTAATTCATCTCATAAATGCCTTTATTATCAGCCTGCATCCATTTTAATTATGGTGAAGAGTAAAATTTCTGTTCCACAGATACATAGGCTCCTCTCCTGATCAGATCCTTCTGTTCCCGTGCATAATACAATGGTGTTGTGGTTTATGATGATGATGACAATGATCACAATGATGTTTAGTTTTTAAGAGTTGCTTATAGAAAAGAGGACTGAGTGAAAATTTCCTTTCCCTTCTCTTCCCTACTTTGCTGATACGGTCATTTTTCTGAATGTGGTAAACTATTGTGCAAAAGACAGGAGAGGAAAGGAGGACATCTTCCTAAACTGGGAAGAGATCTATATGCATATTCCTAGCCTCCCTACACACACACACACACACACACACACACACACACACACACACTAATTACTATATGTTGAAGATAATGTTCTTCCTGGTGGCTCAGAAGCCCCTTAAAACAATACAAAGTATACCCATAAACTATACATAATGAAATACATAACTCAGAGAATACTATCATCAGAAGCTTCCTCCCAAAAAATCTTAAAATCAGACACTCCTACAACAGATTCATCCCCAACACAGTTTAACAAAGGATGTGTTTATGTAAAATATTTCCAAGCCACCTTCAAGGGTAAATGTTCTCTCAAGAAAGTTGACATATATAAAAGGCTATTAATTTTTAATTTAACCTATCAAATATCAAAGGTAAAGCATCAGCTCAAAAATATCGCTACGTTAGAACATGTATCCTAAAGAGACAAAGTCCACTAATTTGGGAGTCACAGGGAGCAATAAAACTTATTCAGGGGAAAACTTGTATATGTAAATGAGTTTTCAGGGCTTTCTTAAACAAATTTCCTTCAGTAATTTTAGAAAAGCGTGTATGTAAAAAATAAATTGGACATGGATATTTGGGAAAGCCTGACCACATTCACTCAAATAGTAGCCAAATCTATTGTTCTAAATACCTTTCCACAATGGTAGAACAAGCCATAGCTTGTAATTCTGCAAGATCATGCTGCTGAAATTCAGGGCAAACCATTCAAAAGTTTCCTATGAATTTTCAATAGGAAATGATGGGAAGTAAGTCTCACTCCAAGAGGGTTAACTGTTCATTGAGAAATCTCTTCCCTCAAAACAAAACAGGTAAAAATAGCCTCAAACCCTACCTAGGTCTCTCCAGGGGTATCATAATACTCTGTACATGGGAACATGACATAATATCTGTATTTCTCTGTTCTGGGAGCTTAAAAGAAGGTGGACTATATATATATACTAGTTAGAGCTAACCTAACTTGGGTGGTTACAAAAGTAATTTAAAACAATGCGCTCCTGCCCACTACAGAAACATTATCTGTTGATGTTATGGCCCACCCAGTCAACTTCGACTGCTGGTAATTGCAAGAATAAGTCCATGCAGTTTCTTGACAATATTTTCAAAAATCGATTGCCTCTATTTTCTTCCTAAAACTGAGAGAGTAATTATAAGGCTATAAGATAAATCAGAAAGGCCAGATTCACTATCAAAGGACTTTCTGTCCTCTCTTGATCCATGGGACTCAAATACACAGGCAAGTCTTATCTTTATTTTTAAAAAAGTATTCAAACAAAACAAACAATGCATCTATGAAGTTGAGGAACATGACGGTGAAGTAAATGATGAGTTGTCACCAACAAATTTGTGCGGCATGTAGCTCCCCTTATATAGGGGTCTCAGATTTGTTCCTTTGCTGGGGAAGAGTTCTTTCTGGCCAATAGTCTTGCTGAGTGCCTTTGTTCAGCCCGCCTTTCCTCGCAGCAGGCCCTTGAATTGGGGGGAAAGGCATTAGCTCCACCTCTTTGTCTCCTGAGGCCAGCAATAGCTGTCTCTCTTGGTTGCTAGGCAACTCTTCCAGCTGAATCCATTCAGGCTGGTGACCATTTTCTGAGTATGAGCCAGTCATGATATTTGTTGTTAAACTGGAATGGCCTTTCCACTTGCATTTTTTAAAAAAATAAACATGGGTTGTATCCCTTAGTTTTTTTACATGGAAAAAGAGTATTTATAAACAACAAAAAGCTAAAATTATTATGCATAGTCTAATTACATAGCAATGCCCTATATAATCACTTTCAAGAGTTTATCTAGTATTAAGCAAATTTAGTTGAACATTTGAGATAAATACAGGAAAAGAACACGCCTAACTCCCCTCTCCACCTTGCTTCATTAATGATTGTCTAATTTTCTGATGAAGAAAGCATGAAGGACTTTGCTCAACAAAGAGACAATAATCTTAGATTACAATACTTTTTTTATTAACAGGACACAAGATTTTTTTTGTCTTTTATTACACAGTGTTCTTCCACACTCAGTTGGTTCCAACATTCCCAAATAAATAGCACAGTAACAAGAGAATTCTGGAAAGAAGAGAAGAAAAATTTGACTGAATATGGAAATCTTATAATTCATAATACATTGAACATTTTCTGATACAATTTATAATGTATTGGTAAAATATGATTCAGAACCTAAACAGGTCAAAGTGTAGGAGATGACCAGACTGAGCCCAAAGGACGGGTCAAATGCGTCATGAATCACGAGTCCTTGTGCGCCTGCAAGACATCTAAGTCCAGCCTACCTTGAATGCCTCTTTTATCTCCCGTTCATTTCCCTTGATTGTTAGTTGGTCAGATTCATGTAGATAGCGTAATCTTGCAATAAATTTTTATACTCATTTGAAATGTCTGAATCTCCTGATTTCCCCGGAGCTTGACACAAAGATTGTATGAGAAAAGAGATACAAAAGTTGAATGTTATATGATGGAATGGTGGAAATTTCAATGGAAAAAGAATATTGTTCACCTCATATATCATACTTGAACAGAATTAATATTAGATGTTTTATTACTGGTGTATTAGTCCTGTTGTTATTGCTCAAATGAGTAGTTCCTTTTTCGCAAAATGCAATGAAAAAATTGTTTATTGTTGTTCCTTAAGACTGAAGCAGTCCTCCACTACTACTTCTAGAAAGTCAGGGAGACTGCCGCACATTATGGAGCAATAATGGAACCACCCTTGACTTCCTTGTAGTCCAAATAAGAGACAAAACTCCATATCCCGTTCATGAGAAATTACCTTTTTTTTCATCTTTGAAACAAATTCTGAAACCATTTTTTTCTATTTAAACACTAATACTAAAAGAAATATAGATACAGTGGTATGTAAAGAATATCACAGTATTCTTTACATATCCTTGATCAATAAAGTTAAGACATGCATCCCCATCCTTCTGTTTCTTTGGATTGGAAGAAATGCAGCTTTCAGCAACTTGACACTCACCAAATGGGATTTCAATCTCACAAAATTTATCAATCATCCCTAGCAAGTTTCCCTGAGGTGATTTAGAGTTGCAGATGGGTAACTATCTCCAAACTGCTTCAAGGAGGCATCCAATTTTTTTAAAAAATTGATTGGAATCACTGGTACTATAACATGATACTTCATTTTTTAAAAATCTGGCTTTTGTCATTGATGTAATGCTTTTATAGACTGCAGCTAAAAATTTTAAAAAGGAAAACTTAAAAGAATGAATAACGATCTTTCTAAAGCTGAAAAATCTGATCGTATGAAGATTTTGGAGTTTTCATTTCTCATTTTACATGGTTTCTTTGACTATTGTTACGGGTTCTTTCCCCTACCCCACCCCATCCTCAGCCCCAAATGCTGAAGAGGAATATATTTCTTAAGATCTTTAAGAACTCTTTCATGGAAAAAGAAATTTATCTGATATTGAAACAGCCTCTTTCCAATCACTTTTCATGTCGGCAAAAAGATTTCATTGCTGCATTATTTTTCATGACACTGTATGAGCTTTTTTCAGCTGTGAATTTGATCTGCGGTTTTATGTGTGTGATGTGTGTACACATTACATTCCTCAGAAAAAAATCCTTTTGTAGGATTAAAGAACTTGAAGTCAAAATACAGATGTTTTCAGTGCTATGAAATTAATTTGGATGTGTGTATCTCTTTAGACTTTTTAGACAAATTTTCTTCTCAGCCTAGCAGCCAAAGTCCTGGTAATTAGTGGCAGTATTTATACTAAACTGAATTAATTACTGGTCTAATTACTAATGCTTGCATTTGCTGATAGGGATGCAGAGATGGAAGTACAGCTATTATTTTCCCTGTATCCATGAAAATCAATTGCCAAAATGATGGATAATTTAATAACATTCAAATTGCTTGAGTGGAAGTCCACTTACTGTCCCTGCTGCATTCCCAATCCTGCTATACAGGCCAACAAAGCCTCCAGGTGTCTAACCATTTACCATATATTTTGGAGTATAAGACACACTTTTTTCAATCCTAAAAGAGACTGAAAACGTGGGTATGTCTTATACTCTGAATGTAATCTGCACAGTGCCCAAAATGGCTACCCAAAACAGCTACTGCCTTCTCTTACCCCTTCCGCGCTTTGCCTGCTTTAGTCACTGGAGCTCCCTCCGAGGATCAGCTGTGCTTTTGAAGTTGTTTTTCAGCCCCAACGGGAGCAAAGCATTCTTCCGTGCTTTGCCTGCTTTTCTAATTGCTGCTCCCTCTGACAAGGGAGCTTTAGAAGCACAGCCCCAACCAGCCCCAACCTCAAAACCAGCGAGCGAACTAATGTGCTGGGACTAGCCAGATGAATACTTGGTAGGCAGAAATTTTTTCCCCTATTTCCTCCCCCCAAAATAAGGCATGTCTTATACTCCAGTGCGTCTTATACTCCAAAAAATAAGGTAATTAACAAGTGGTTTACAAGAATCATTTTGAGGAAGGCATGAGGCATTAGGGTGGAGAGACCTGTATCACTTCCACCCTGAAATTAAATGTTGGCTAATCGGGCATCCTTCTACATTGTCTCCATCAACCCATTGCAACTTCTGCCTTGGCTGATAACTGAAGAATTCGTTAGATTTTAAATCAGGTTCAGTTTTTTCTTCTGCCCCAACTCACTTGCAGTAAAGAGATGGGCTAGGATCCAGCTAAGTCCTGAATCTTCTGCTTTTCAATGTCACCTAAACCTGATTTGATGTCATTGAGACCAACTGCTCTGTGAAGATAAGGAGCACCTGTGAGGAACTCTCATCTCCCTTCACTTTTACTGTGCAACCAATTTATTGGCAATCCTCCCCATCTTTTCCCAGACCACCAACCCCCAAAAACCTACAAGTAAAAAGCTGTTTCCCATGAGGATGTTCTTTGTCCTTTAGCAGCCTTGAATTTGGCCTTAATAAATCAAGTATTAAGAAATTAGTGCCCAAATTGTCTTGTTTCTTTTTCTTCTTTTCCCTCCTGTCTTTTTTTCTTTTGCATTGGGCTTAATTAGCCTATAAGCCTAACAGAGACATCTATTTTTTATCATCATGTCATAATAACACCTCTGTTATAACTTGCCTTTCCATCTGAAAGGCATACTCAAAAAGTCTAGCAGCAACAAAGAGTGAAATAAATTAAAAATGACACAATGCAGAAAAAAAATAGCCTCCTCATTATCACAATAATATTGAAGGGTGTAAATTGAGGCCTGAAGAGTGAGGCAAAATGCTGTTGCCAATATACTAATAGATGATAGGAACAACAGCTACAGCAAAGTATATCCCACATCCCTTATTCTGTTTTGAGTTAAATAGTGTTATACAAAGGGTAGAAAAGGAGTAAGGCGACATTGCAATCAAATTGAGCTAAATTTATCATTACCTTCCATTTTCCTTATTAAAGGAAAAATAATGATTTCTTGATAAATTTACGCTAAGACCATTTATAACTTTTGCTCCACAATTTTCTCTTCCCTGAATACCATTTTTTTTCCCATACGAGATATGGATCAATGTCTCTTATTTTTTAAAACTTCTCTTTTTTCTTCTTTTTTTCTTTTTCTTTTTTGAGAATCTGATCAGATCTACCAACTTTGGCCATTATGGTTCCTACTTTCCACCTCCCTTCCCCAGTGAAAATGATCTATCCATGAACAAATTATTTGGGAATCCTCCAAGGTTGACTGTACGTTCCTTTGCATATGTATAACATGCAACATATATACTGTATATACATATACATATGTTGCAATGTATATATAATATATATATATATATATATATATATATATATATATATATATATGTATAACATATGTATAATACATATGTTGTATGTATTATACAGTTTAGTATATACTTTATTACAGTAGGCCAGGGAACCACACCTAAATTGCCAGTGGTCCATCCAGATACTGTACATTCCTTGGTTCGACCTTGGTAAGAGTGTTACATTCCTTTCCTTCAAAATCCTGACAGATGATGTGGGGGAGGGAATGGGGGCAGTATAGTTGCTAGGCAACTACAGGAAATCTCAGGTACCTTCTTCTCATTTCAGGAAAAATAATTGATTTCTTCATCTCAGTTATTTCCTTATACTAGACGTATTAGCAACAACATTCTCAATATAGTATGCATTGAAAAGAAAAAACTTCCGTAGTATGGAGAACGCACATGTAAGCCATTACAAATCATCATCATCATCTTCTTCTTCTTCATCATCATCAGTCCAGAAAACCTAGAAAGGAGGCAGTGTGGAAGAAATTCAATATTATGCCACCTTGACATACACACACACACACACACACACACACACACACATATATATATGTAGGTCTTTGGTTATTCGGGTCTTCTCCCACGTAAAATTGGAAGTGTCTTGGCGACGTTTTGACGAAGTCTCATTCGTCATCTTCAGGCTGGTGTTCTCGGCTTCGTGCTTCCAGGAGCAATGTGAGATCGCAGCTGTCTCTTCCTTTTAACTGCTAGTGGGGGTGTGAGCTGATTGGGTGGGAACTTGGCTGTGTTCTGATTGGGTGGAGGTGTGTTCTGATTGGTTAGGGGTTTGGCTGTGCTCTGATTGGATGGGGGGTTGATTAAAAGGCACCACAGACAGAACAAGCAAAATCCTCCACAAACACAACATCAAGACAGCACTCTGCACAAACCGAAAAACATCCACCATCCCAAGGAACCCCAAAGACAAAACCGAGTTAGAAAATCAAGGAGCACATGAAATCCCATGCACCGCCCGCCCCACCACACACATCGGACAAACCAATAGACGAACAAGTGCATGCACAGAAGAACACAAGAACTCAGTCAGAAAAGAGGAACCAACCTCTTCCCTGGTCCAACACCCCAAAGCCACAGGACACGACATTAACCAACCCCCCATCCAATCAGAGCACAGCCAAACCCCTAACCAATCAGAACACACCTCCACCCAATCAGAACACAGCCAAGTTCCCACCCAATCAGTTCACACCCCCACTAGCAGTTAAAAGGAAGAGACAGCTGCGATCTCACATTGCTCCTGGAAGCACGAAGCCGAGAACACCAGCCTGAAGATGACGAATGAGACTTCGTCGAAACGTCGCCAAGACACTTCCAATTTTACGTGGGAGAAGACCCGAATAACCAAAGACCTACATACAAACACCCGCGAAAACCTGAGAAAACATATATATATATATAGATATAGATTCTGGGCTTTTTTCTTTTCTAGCAGCCAGCAACCTCTTCCTGCTAGGTGGGAGACCTATATAGATCTATTTCCATCTCGTTTGGTTTCATCAGTAGGCCACATCCACATCTTATGTATCCTCCCTGTAAAGGTATAGTATCTATTTTCTTACTTCTTTGTAGGGTTTATGTGTGTTTTTCCTCTAGCCATATATATATACACATATATACATATATGTATATATACATATATATGTATATATACATATATATGTATAATTACATATATATGTATATATACATATATATGTATATATACATATATATATGTAGGTCTTTGGTTATTCTCCCACGTAAAATTGGAAGTGTCTTGGCGACATTTCGACGAAGTCTCATTCGTCATCTTCAGGCTGGTGTTTTCGGCTTCGTGCTTCTAGGAGCAATGTGAGATCGCAGCTGTTTCTTCCTTTTAACTGCTAGTAGGGGTGTAAACTGATTGGGTGGGAGTTTAAACCAAATTTAATCCCCACATGCTTCCAACTGAAACACCACTCCAACTCTGCAGCCACCAAACGCATCCTGAAAAGAACAGAATTGGCCCTAATAAGAAATGAACTTCACACAAAAAGATTCCTCCTAGACTGAATCAACAAAGATCTCCTCACACTTCATCTCAAACTCAGCAACAAGATCCACCTTGCACTTTGGGACAAATCCAAAGAACTCGCCGTCTGGAGAGCCAAAACACAGACCACCCTCAAGACAGACACACACACCAACAAATTTCAAAGACTACAAGAACGCCAGAAACAAACCCCTCCCCCCTCACAGCCACACATGAAACAAACAGTGCATAACATCTCAGATAGGATCCTCACCAAAGCCGAAACCAATGTCCTTTCCAAAGGATTCAACTTTGCAGTCGCTCCCAAACACATCCCCACTGAAACCATTATATGCGGAGTTGAAACCAGCCTGACCAAAATCAACCCTGACGATGCTAACAGAATCAGACTTGAAATCACCAACATTCTCTGCACCAGCAAGCCACCCAAAAGCAACTTACCCAAAGAGGAACAGACAGCACTACTTAACCTGAAAGAAGACACCAGCATAATAATCCTACCAGCAGACAAGGGAAACGCCACGGTGGTTATGAACACATCTGACTACCAAACCAAATTGACCAACCTACTCCAAGACTCCACATACAAACCCCTAAACACAGATCCCACCACCTACCTGGAAAAAACCACTAGATCCAAAATAAAAACCTCCCCCATCAGCGAAGAGATCCAGCAAAGAATCATTCCCAGAGAGAAATCATCCAGATGCCCAAAACTCTATGGTCTCCCCAAGATACACAAAGAAGGAACCCCACTTAGACCCATAGTCAGCTCCATAGGCTCACCTCTACAAAACCTAGCCAAATTTCTCGCCAAACAACTACAGCCCTATGCAGAATCCATCACCTCACACGTAAAAAACTCATTCCAGTTCATAGAGATCATAAAGAAACAAAACTTACAGCCCAGCGACCTACTTGTGAGCTTCAATGTCATATCCCTCTTCACCCAAGTGCCAATCAAAGAAGCCTTGACAGCTATCCAAAACAAATATTTTTAAATTTTTAAACCCCTTTAAATATTTTAAAGGGGTTTTAAATTGGGGCGGCCGTTTAATTTAATTGATTTTTAATTATTTTAACTTTTATATTGTATGTTATTTTAATTCTCAGCTGTTCACTGCCCTCAGTCCCTTCGGGGAGAAGGGCAGGATATAAATTTATGAAATATATATATATTTGAGATAGAAAAACGCCCACACAGCATGAACAAATGAGACGATACCTCCCGCCTACCAGCCATTTGGAAACCTGCCCTTATTGACAAACGAGTCCCTAACACGACGAATGACACCAGACCCACACTCACGAGAGCCACACAGGATGTCACCACCACACATCCACGCAGAAAGCAGACTCAAACCCACACTGATAATGAGCCACGACTAAGGACCAGAAGCCAGACCGCAGCTGCATCATTAGCCACTTTAAACCCCTCCAATCCATACATGAAGCAAACTGACACCCACCATGAAGATGTGGCACGATGACGAACACGAAGCCAAACAACAGCAATGCAGCTCACCAGCTCAAATCCCCCTGCAACTCAGACTAACATGAGCACAACCAAGCCCCCACCTAAACAGAACACACCCCCATCCAATCAGAGCACAGCCAACCCCCCAACCACTCAGAACACACCTCCACCCAATCAGAACACAGCCAAGCTCCCACCCAATCAGTTCACACCCCCACTAGCAGTTAAAAGGAAGAAACAGCTGTGATCTCACATTGCTCCTAGAAGCACGAAGCCGAAAACACCAGCCTGAAGATGACAAATGAGACTTCGTCGAAACGTCGCCGAGCCATTTCCAATTTTACGCGGGAGAAAACCTGAATAACCAAAGACCTACATACAAATACCTGCGAAACCTCAGAAAACAATATTTATTGAATTTATATACCGAAGGGACTCAGGGCGGTGAACAGCCGAAAATTAAAATAACATACAATATAAAAGTTAAGATAACTAAAAATAAATTAAATTAATCGGCCTCCTAATTTAAAACCCCAAGCTATATAATTAAAAACTAATTATATATACCTATATATATATATATATATGTAGTCCTTAGATTACACCCATTCATTCAGTGACATTTCAAAGTTGCAATGGTGCTGAATAAATGGTGCTCTAGGTCTTTGGAGTTCTGGCCATTGCAGTATCCTGACTGTTGTGACCCCAACTCCCGAGCCTGTCCTAACAGAGGAAGAGGACTCAGAAGGTGATGGGGAAGAACTGACAAGGTCTCCCTCTCCAGGACCCTCCTTTCTGGCAATGCCTCAGGTTCCATCCGAAGGCCAGGAGGAACAGCCTGGGATGTGCCAGGAGGAAGGCATATCGGAGCACCAATTGATAGGGAGCGAGGAGGATGAATCCTGGCTTGATCCCAGGCAGAGTCGGAGGAAGAAGCGTGCGCAGCAACAGAAGAGGCGTGGGAGGGCCAGAGATTGAGCTGAGTCACAGAGCCACGCCCCACCAGGAATAAAAGTGGGTGGGATTGCTCTTCAGGCTTTGTGACGGACAAAGTTAAACCCTGAAAGTAACATCGTGATCTCTGAAATTCGGCTTGGATATATTTTGGACTGAACGTTGACTAAACTCTTGTCTCATGGATAATTTGTTGCTCCTGAAACAGACTGAAGATAAGTCCTCTTCTACTTTATGGGAGTGAAACCTGTCTTGGCAGGCATTTGGCAGTTTGCTGCCAAAACCTTGGTCTGCCAAGAATTCTAATCTGTTTACCTAATAAAAAATTGGCAGGTGTGCTTGGTATTACGTTTGCCTGTGTGAGGAAGGACAGAACACCTGACAGTCACGTAATCACAATTTCCAACATTTCCTGCCAGTTTTTCCACAAGCAATGTCAGCGGAGAAGCTAGGAGTCGTGATCATGTGAGCTCCTTGGTTAATGACCCATGAGATCCTTGCTTAACAACGGCAACTGGGTTTGCAGGAATTGCCATCACTAAGCAATCTATTTGTGTGACATTGCATTCCATAACCATGTTGCTTTGCAACAGCAATGGTGGTCCCAACTGCAGTCGTAAGCTGAGGACCACCTGTAAGAGGAAGAGGGAGAAAGAAAATCTGTCTGGCTTTCATTCATCAAATTAATAACAAAGTTCTGCTATTATATTTTATCTTCTCCTTCCTTGCATATTCCCGCAGGTGCAGGGTCCGTTTTTTGAATCATTAAGTGTCATTTTGTACAATCAGCTGTGTCTCCAGGGTGCAGGCCTGTGGCTTGCATATCTTTGTTGATGGTGTCTTGCCATCTCTGTTTTGGACCCCTGCGAGATCATCAGCCATTGACTTCTAGTTGGTACGCAGTCTTGGCCACGGTGGAAAGTGC